TAAGGCTGGCAGCATGACAGTCCAGAGGTTGTTTCCTACCCTGTAAAAGTGTTCTTATTGTTGACACTGCAAAAGGTGAAGGATTAGGGGCTAGGAACAGGAGCTAAAGTTTGCCTATTTCGAAATCAACTAGTGAGTCAACGTAAGTTGGAGGTCGGTGAGGACCCAAAAGCAGAGATGAGTTTTTGCTAATTTAATGGCAAACAGAAACAAAATCAACGAACAGAATGCAGAATGCTTCGAGACAAGTGTCGAGTAGTGGAGGGGGTGTTTCCGTGGAGCGCGTATCGAGGCTTGCTTCATTTGGGAGAGGAGCCAAAACAGATTACATCTGAAGCCTTGCTCCCCCACTGTACCTAGGGACCGTTTCGGGAAGTGGTGGCTCGCCTAGAGCTTGCCAGGAACTTCAACAGGCATTTAAAAAGCCTCAGTACTCAGTCAAGATGTGGGAGTTTATAGGAGAGTTGCAGTCAGTTGGATAGAGTTTGGATATAATCTAAGGATAGATTGGTTGGAAAAATAATTAATCTAGTTGGTTACAACTATTTTGGTTAGATTAAACAATGTAATGATCAAAATCTGAGGAAGCAACTGGTTGCAGTTGTAACATTAGTATTAAGTAGTATTCCTTTCCAGTGTACAGATCCTATTGCTAGTGGTGTCATCTATAAGACATTGACTTCCATTCTTGAGGTTGTTGGTTCAAGACCCACCTTAGACTTTTGAAAGTTGCAATAATAATTAACATGTGTTTTGGCAATGTGACTAATTTGAATTGGTTTGCTCTTGTACAAATATAGATTGGGAAAATGACTAACACCTTTCATTTAGCTCATCATTGCCCAATTTGCACAAGCACTATCACAATCTGCTTGAGCTTATTTCTAAATGTTCTAAGACATTTTACACAGAAAAAACTTACAAAAGATTTGAATATACACATCAATCATTAACAATTTCAAAGGAACTTGAATGGTAAAAAAAAAAAAACAAGAAAAATTTTAGGATAATTATCAATAAAGATGTGTGAGTTTGTTACTCCTTGGTATTGGCTGCCTGTTGCCTGTCAGAACTGATATTTTAATCTAATTAGGACGGTTCCTCTGTCTGGATATAAAGTTATAATCTTCATTTTGTATGTGGCAAAGATTTGGAAATGGAGATGTCCTTCAGCTAAGAACAAAGTGTAATATTTTGACAAGGCTGGAGCCATGGATGTCTAATCATCTGCTAATGTGCAAAATATAATGATGTGGCAGACTGGAGATGTATAAAATGCCTTTTTAACTTTTAATCTGGGCCACTTCCTGAGAGGTGAGCCCAGAGGTGAGCAGCTGCCTTCTGTACATTCTAAGCAATTTCTCTGATCTGAGTAAGATTACAATTTCTATTAGAATCTGTTGTCATGTGTCCTGGTTATTTAATACATATATGTTATGAAGTGTTATTTAAAGAGTTTGTCCCAAGTGATCTCTTTTCAGGGAAAAGTACCAGAGAGATAGAAGATCAAGGCTATCTTTAACAAAAACAATTGCCATAAATCACAGATTATATCACTAACTGTAGTTATGCGTTCTACCAGTAGGTGGCGACATGTTCACATGAAGCTTCATGAAATGTGTGATTTGTCGAAGCAATTTGCCCAAACTGTTCAATGCCTCCTGTCCCCAAAAACAAAACAAAACGAAGTCCGAAAGGGGAGAACCCTGACACAGTGAGAGAGAGACAGTGCCACTTCTTGTTGTTGTGTGACTCGTCTACATAAAGAAAAAAAAACTGCCTACTGACAAGCATTGACAATCATTACCAGTATTTTGCTGAAAGTGGCGCTGCATCACTCACCCAAACATTGCATGGACAATCTGCATGAGCTGAAGAAAAAAACCCTTTGTTGAACTGATTTGAAGGATTCAGCGCACTCAACAGAACCAATCTCCCCATCATTAGTATAGAAATATGTACCTGGATTCAGATCTGCATTTAAAAGAAAATCTGTTTGCTTCGCTGAATAAACATGGATCTGGTCTGAGGTCATGAATTCAACATCAGTTGTTCAATTTTCATAGTTCTGAGGTCGTTTTTACAAAGCACGCACAGAACCTAGCCTAAAACCTGCCTTTGTGGATTTCCACATAAATGATGTGATCTATAAAAATAAACCTTCAACAAACTTTAAAATACACTTTCCCTTATACTAACTCTGACCCATCCTTACAGGGCCTTGTAGACAGCGGAAATTGGAAACACAGACGATGATAAAGGAGGGGAACCCAAGCCAGATGGCGCCATGATTCCCCTCAGACATCTAATTTTATTTTATATGACACTTAAATGGTAGATTGACTTTATAAGATCCAAAACTGAATCTTTTACGGGGAGTGGCGGGCTAGTGGTTAGGGGATTGTGCTTGGAATCCTGAGGTTCTCAGTTCAAGCCCCACTCCCACAGATTGCCACTTTGGCTCCCCAATAGACCCTTAATCCCACAATGCTCTCCAGGCACCGTACAATGGCAGCCCACTGCTCCCCAAGGGATTGGTTAAATGCAGAGAGTGAATTTTAGTGCTCTGTACTTGTGGCAGTGTAATGACAATAAAAAAGCTAAAAAAAACAACAACAAACAAACAATTTTTGATCAGTTATAATGGTGCTTAGAGCTTTTCAGAGAGATCCCTAAAGCCTGGTGTTTCAATTAAGTAGCTGGGACTAGATGCCTGGAGTGGAGAAATCCCCATTTCCATAAATAAAGTAAAGCTAAAAGCTATTAGTGTAAAAAGCCTTCTTATATAAAAAACATATTGGTAGCAACATAACAGATGTGGGATCATTTACAGGAACTTTAAAGAATTAAGCATGAAAGGATAAAAATAAGGCAGAAAGTCTTACAAGGTTTGTCTCTATAATTCAGGACTCCTGCTAAGATCACGACAAAGGCACAGCATGGATTCCAGATATTGATGAAAAGACACCCAAAGGGGTAGCAGAGGACCACCCCGAAAAAATCCTGCAACTTGTCAAAGGATTAGCTCATGTCAGAGGCCTACAGAGTAATTCCACGGGCAAAGATGGATAGAGTATGCTCTCCTGCAGTTATCCTGTGCTGCTGTCTACCCACAGCCTCACAGCTCTGCAGTCTGCTGACTGATGTCTGTGGTCTGTTTGTAAAGTAGTCAATAAGGCTGGAGGTCAGGAGACTTCCACCATGATTTTTATGGTACTTCCTATAGACAGCAGAGAATGATAAAGCTGCAGAAGTGCAATACAAATCACATAACCTGTTCCCTCTAGTCTTGCGTTTTTGTTTTTCTTTTGTCCAGAGAAACTGGACTGTGTTTGCAAGATGCCATGTTTTTATAGTAATTCATACTCTTTGAATACCACCTCTCTGATAGTCTCACAAGCAATGAAAAAGTATTTTAACAATCATGCATATATTATGTAGATTGTAACATATGATCATGGCAGCTTTAAGGTCTAAAGTGTATGTCCTCAAATCCTGAACCAAGTGGTGAGACCCAGTCATTATTCTTCAATTAACAAGACTCAAGTCTTTAAACTGAAGTCTCCGGTTAAATCAAAGCAGACAGGAACTAATATTTCCCTTATAGTTGTTTGTTTCCTATTTTATCCATTTGTTAAAACTTTGTGCACACCTCTTTGATAGCACTGGATGACTCAACATCTGCCCCCAATTCATTTGAAGCTATGTTGTTATATAAAGATGCAGATGATAAACAGGTAAGCAGCAGGTAACTGCAGCATTCAAGCTCCAACAAGAGGAAATGGATACTGTATTCTGGCTATTGAGTTACACATGGAGCTGGATAGAATTCTCGGGTTCCATTCCCAGCAGGCAGGTTTCCAATTTGAAACACACTCTTTTTGAAGTAAGAGAATCTTTTTTTTTTAAAGCCAAATGGTTAAAATATGAATATTGATTCACTTGCGTTAGTGTTAAAGTTCAAGCAGGAGAAGAAAAAAAAAGAAGGAAGGTAACTGAAAATTAACACTCCCATCCAGACACAGCAAAACAGTCAGCTTTACACCTTTGGTCCCAGTACATATGCTGTAATCAGAATCAGAGCACAGCAAAATGGCTCCTATTCATACTTCAATTGATGGACTTAGGGTCCAATCTTCAAAGATTCAAAAAAGAAAAAAGAAAAAGAGCTTTGGAAAGCCATGGATATTGTTTAAGAAAATATTTCTCACCATAAGATTCCATCCTAGCCTGTCTGCTGTGTAACCTAATGTTAATGATTCCGATTCTTTACAAATGGTCTCTAATGAACCTCCAAAACTTTCACAGAAGAGCTGTATCTATATTTAGCCTGTGTTGAATTAAAACCCTGTGAAACCATACTGAATGCCTTCACAGGGTTTTATTTAGGGGTAAATGGGGCAACACAGAATTAAAAGTGTATTTTTGGCCATGAATCTAATTCAGCACCATAATTATGCTTTGTTTTGTACCTGACAAGTCAAACCCCAGTAAGAATACAGTGAGTCCAGTGATTATGATGTGGAAAAATGTGTAAACATTGCAGATATATAAATATATTTCATTCTTGCACTACAATAATCATATTTCGGAATTATTTTGCATCGTCATCAACACAGTGTAGTATATATTTTGCATTCAAGCAATAATAGCTGCAGTTAAAGCCCACACAACCATGTCATGTGATCACACACAGTTGGATACTTTCTGTTACTATACTTAGATTGCTTCTGGAAGAATATATGTAGAAACAAACAGGCCGAGAGGGAAGAGGACACTATGGTGCTAAAACAATTCATTAAAGTCCTGCTGGGCTTAAGAGATTGAATGGAGAACCTTTGGATGATTTTATATCCACAGTATGTGCAGTGGCTAAATAATCATTTGTCCACTACTCAGTTGATGAATTTTAATCTAAAGCTTCATCCTCTCTCTGAATATAAATTAAAAGCTCCAAGTGCAGAAAAGTGTTTTTATGTTTGTGTTTTTTGGGAGTGTACCTGGATGGAGATACTTCTGTTGTGACGGGACATGTTCATGTTGTGTGGTTGTCCATTGGCCAGGTTACGCTGGTCCACATCTATTACAAATGGATCCCTCAGACCCCCAAGGTTATACCGAACCTGCAGAGAACCTAAAAAGACCAGAGAAATGGTAAAGTTTGCTGTTCAAAGTACAAATCTGTTACTTTCATGTGCATGATAGCCTTACCATCATGTCTCAAAACCACAGCCAGGTAGTCCTGCATCTTGGAGCTCACGTACATAAGAATAGCTGGAGTACTAGTTGTACTAAAACTAAGGGTCACCTCTTCCTTTGTTAAATTCACATCATTTGGCATCAGCTGTTGTGTCAAGGCTTTTGTGTCTTTACTGGTCCCTTGTACTGCTTCAGGCATGAAGTTGTATTTGACCAGTGTTCCTGCTTCAAAAAAACCGCCAATATCTGAGTGAAAAGAAAAGGAAAAAAAAAAACACAATCAAGCTCTATATTCAATTGACTTAGGTGCACACAGAGGACATGCACACTGGTGCATCTGAGTGTGCGGCAGGAGATCTAGCAAGGGAAAGAAAAAGCAATATAAGTTTAAAAAAAAGCAACTGGCATCATAACCAAGCCACAGGGAGCCACTCACAAACTCATACATGCAAAGACACAAATGGGTAAACATAATATTTAGCCAGAGGGGAATAAACACACACACACACACACACACACACACACACTGATATGGTTGTGTTCAGCAGGTGTAGTAAAGTGGGTGTTAAATTGCTACTCTCCACCACCTGAAACCAAACAATACACCATTTACCAGTACATTAACAAACCTAATGGCATACTTCAACCGTTCCAGGCGGCTTATTGATTCTCATAATCAAATGTTGAAAAAACCCAACTTTCTTTTCCATAACCTACATCAGTTATGCTCTATTTGTGCGTATGTGTACAGATTCCCTTTAGGTCTGCTAAAAAGGAGATAAAGAACATTAAATTAGCCTTAGCTTAAGGGAAATATAAATAGGAAGGGGGTTTGTTTTTCTTTCCTGTGCAGAATGTACCATGACATGTTGGCCTTATCTCTTCAGAACACTAAATTTTACTGAACAAATTAAAATAACTTTCGTGAAGCATCAATGCACAGAGAATGGGCAAGTTTCTTGGCTTTTTTTCTATAGGGAGAATAAGAAAACTGATTTGTGGCTTAAAAAAAATAACAAATATTGTTGACATAAGTTTTCGATGGCGACCTTTAAGAGGGTCTGGAAATTTTTTTTTGAATTTTTATGTTGTTTAGAATCTAGAAAGGAGCTAAGGGAAGGAGAATGACACAAGGAGGCAACAGAGGCTTAACAAGAAATAAGAACTCAAATACAACCAAAAACCACTAAAATAACACAAAATGGAAATTAAACCAATGAAAACTCAAAAAGAAAACAAACAGAACCAAAACCATGATAGTAGCATATAAATATAAAGAAGAGTTAACATAGCACATATCAAATTATTTATCTATTTTGTTGTTGGCGTAAAGGTCAGCAAAACACGACAAAATGTGTGTTTTCAATTAAAATGACCAAGTATGGCCACATCTGATTATTGGGAATATTGGTTCAGTTACTGTTTTATGTACACCTGCCAAGTAAAGCATGGTGTTATAGAGTAATAGATGACAGAGTGAATTCCTGTTTGGTTTTCTTAAACAGAAAGTCCCCACATAAATATACAAAATAAACACCAATTAATTATTTCCAAAATACAGGACTTTATTAACTAAATAGACTTAATAGACTAAATTGACTTCAACTTTATTCTTGGTTTTTTTCCATTAAAATACATCAGTCAACAAAGTCTGTAGCAAGGTAATAATATTTAATCAAACTACTCATTAAAAATGACAAGAATATGGCAACCTACTGGTACAATAAAAATCAATCGCATAAAAAAGTAAAAAGGAAGACATAAAATAAAAAATAAAACCAAAAAGAAATATGCAGTAAATTCACAGTTGAGGGTGAATAAGACGTTTAGGAACAAAAGTTTATTTTTAGGACTTTAGAATGAAGCCAAGCTAGCTTTAAAGGTCAAAAGTGAACACTTTGTTATATATTCAAAAACAGGCGGTTTAAAAAATAAAGTAGAGATGAATATAAAATGGTATTTCACTTGAACCTCTTTTTTTACTTTTCGGTTAGAAAAGTGGACAAAAAGCAAAATGGCAACACGTTTTTGACATCTATAACCATTTCTAAATGGAAAATAAAATTACCAAAAGATACGCTGACCCATAGAGGAGCTGATGTGCCTTAAGTTTTTTAGCTTTATGGTGTGGCATGCATCCTCCTCCCCAGAAGTTATGCTAGGTGTGTTCAAGGTGAAAAGTGGTGTGCAGGGTTAAAAGTCCTTTGTACAGCTGGACAAAGCTACCTGCAACTAAATGTGATGGCTGGCATAGTGTTTGTGTTATGCAAATTACTGATGAAATATACATAATAAAACAAACTTTATTTTGGAGTCCTATGTACTGTATTGTTGCATGCATCCAATGCGATCTCCTGGGGATCCCATTGGAAGAGGGGGCTTCATAGCACCATGTCCAAGGACCAGAAACTCCAGACTGACCAAAGGCCAAGTGGACCTGGTGGCTATTTTCAGAACCAAACTGCTGCAAAACAGACATTTAAAGCCTTCAGATGCCTGAAGAGACTGGAAGCATGAAGGTCCTGAGAACAAAAAAATTCTCCAGCTAAGCTGCTAATACACGAGAAGCTCAGCTTTTCCAAAACAGAGATAACCAGAGATATAGGTCAGGCACATTTAGGCGTAGACTTTCATACTAAATAATTCGTCTTTCTGATCATATTTGATCTTTGTAAGTTTTAAGTGTTTGTTTAAAGACAAGTTAACAAGATGGCCTGCATGGTACACCATGCTGATATGTTTTAAGCTTTTGTTTATAAAGCTAAAAGAAACTTTGCTTTACTGGCAGCCGACTCAGACAGCTAATCTTTTTCTGAACTCTTGAGGTTTCAATTGCTCACGTGCTCAATACATCAGCACACGGAAGCAAATCGGACAGAGATCCAACTTGCGAGCACAGTGTAAAAACCAAAACTGATCTGATCTGCGCTAGTCTAGCTCAGGTCAAATGTACCTAATGTAAAAATGGGTAAATACTGTGCATTCTGGGATTTAGAGTTTTTATCAGTCTGTTTTTGTTATCTTTTGGATCCTTGTCTCTTCACATAGATAAGTGAGTGGTGGAAAGGTTAAAAGCAGCATTTGGTCACAAAATAGTATGCTGAGTTCTGAACATCCTAGAAAAGAATGATCAATCTGTTATCTGAAAATAAGAAGCGGATGTTTGATCTGTAAACCTAAACCCATAATCACCCACGTGATGCAACAAAAAATATACGTTAATCAGAGAAACAGCCAAAAGACCTACGACCCTTGATGGGGTGCAGGGATTCACAGAGCTCAGGTGGTCAAAACAGCTATTAGCTGTTCAACAAGCTGGATTTTTTTTTGGAACAATGACCAAAAAAAGGCCCTTAGTAAAATAAAACAATAACAGCTTTGAGTTTGCGATATCAAACACTGTAACACAGCATATAATATGAGTTATTCCATACATGGACCTCAGTAGCTTTGGAAACTTTACAATTAACAGGCAAACATTTTTTTTTTTACTCTATTCCTGATATTCTGCTACAGGCATATCATGAATTATTTGCAGCTGTAACTGTTGTAAGATGTTTAGAAAAAATAATATTCATGACAATATTTACAAATAGTGCTTAAAAGAAATACATAAAATAATGAATAATTTATTGCATTTGTGCACATGTGGTCAAAAAGATTCAAAGTTTGAGTGGAACATTAGAAAATGAAATTAAATAAACATGTTATTCTCATGCCTCCAGTTAACCTAATTTAAGTACCAAGGATTCTACTTTTTTTTTAAACATCTTTTAAATCAGCATTTTGACCAACTGTGTCGGCAACCAACCTCCATCTCCTTCTAGTTGGGGGAAAACTGTGTCCTACTCAAAGCCCAAAGGTTCAAAAGCAATGCACAATTTTCTGGGCAAAATGAATGAGAAAATTGAAGCAGAGCCACAGGATGTTCTATGGGATTGTATGCAACTGCATAGGTAATGCAGATGTGTGATGCGTGTGCATGGGTTTTCATTCGTGTATGTACGTTTGCACACTCACACCAAGCCACCCTCAAGGGCAAAAAAAAAAGCAAATGAATAGCAGTGTATAATAATGACACCAGAGGCTCCCATAAGCACTGTGTAAATATGGATACAATGGAAATGTCCTGTGCAATTATGGCTGACTTCATGCATTTTTCACTCACTGGGAGGATGGTGGGAAAGGGAAGGGGTAGTACATTAGAGCGGGATAGATGGCAAATTTGTAAAAGCGCAAAGAGGAAAAAAAAGAAAGAAGAGAAATTAGAAAAAAACTATGAATGGGAAAAAGAAGAAAGATTGAAACCGTTTTTAAAATTGACCAGAAAATGAAAAACATCTAAGAATCAAATTAGAGAACAGATGATGTTGAAATTGTGCAAAAAAGCAAACAGACACAAGGGTGTGCTCTCTCCCTTTCGTCTGTTCCTCTGATGTGCACCCAAGCCCCCCCACCCCTACTCCAAAGAATACACATAGTCACACACAAACACACACGTCCACACAAACCCCTCACTCTAACACAGACAGCAGGCTAATCTTTATTCTCTAAATCTTGAAATACTTCTTTGCTTATGACAGAATTCAAAGGAGGTCTTTTCATGTCGTATGCTAGCACTATCATTGCACACTGTCATCCTCTTCCATGGCACACGAGGACATACACACAAACACACACACATATATACGCAACCACAAAGACCCACAAAAAGATGCACACTGCGTTTCTGTCATCTTGTCACCCCCCTGCCAAGAGCGCAGGGGAAAAACACCATTCAACTTTAGGAAACAAATTAATTCACGTGTCGGAGATCAACTCTCTGACTGGGAGCTAGCAGAACGCCTCTGACAACAGTGCTGCTCTTCTCCCCAGAGTACTTTGCAGAACTTGTTCTGGGAAGGAGAACTTTAATAGACTATCTAATGAATCCCTGTGAAACAAACATGATGTTTTAGTAGTAGGTGCGACGGAGCAACAGCAGAGGTAGAGTGTGACATTTTCTGTCTGTGATCTTTAAAACCTTAACACATCCACATTTGCTGAAATAAATTTTATTTGATTCGGTTTTCATTCATTTTTTTTTAGTTTGATCTTTCAGTTCTACCTTCCTGCATCTTTCAGTATTCAGCAAGCAGACTCTGAAGTCAGGGAGAACTGGTGGGTAAGCACAATATCACTGCCAATCGATGGCTTTTATCATAAGCCAAAACACTTTTAACACAGATGGCTGCAAAACTGAATAGGAAGTGAAGACAAACAGAAAACGCAGGAAAATCACAGTGGGGTGTCGGCCAATGAAGCCTAATGTGACAGAAGTACTATAGAAATAACTCTGCTGCTATTTGATGTCGGCTTAGTAGACTACAGAGGGACAGTATTTTGCAAATAGATGTAGATCAGTGTTAGCTGAGGTTTTTTGACTTAATGTTTCATTTTGAGATAAATAAATAGGAATTAGTTAGAAAATGGTTGATGGTTGATGCCATTTTGAGGCTGTAAAGGACCTTGTTTAAATACTTAAAGCATATTTTTCTGCCTAAAACTATGAACTTTACTCTGTTTCATTGAGATTTTTCACATAAAGTTGCACATACCTATGAAATAGAAAGATAGGGATACGTTTGAAATATTTATACAAATTTTGATCTAGTCCTTCTTAACCTCATAGACTAATTGAAAACCGAAATCGCGTCAATTGCCTACAAATGTTAAAGGTATAGTGGAGGATTTTTCACAAATTTTTGAAAAGAAAAGATTAAAAAAAATGCACATGCACAACACTGTACCCGCTCCCGAGAGGGAACGCTTATAAATGCGTGAAAGAACATGCACAAGTCCATTTCTCCTTGTGCACACTCTGTTTAAATGTTGCTGTTTGCATCGCTTATACAAGCATAATATCCAAAAGTAGGTTTGCATTTTTTCCACTATGTCAGACTCACCACCAGTCAATGAAAGTGGGGACAAGCACATAAGACGGCCTTACGTACACATATAAACAGAATGATTGACTATTGGAGGACCACTTATTTTGATGATCCACCCGGAAAAGGAAGATTCTCCACTATACCTTTAATTAGTGAAAATATATGTGGTTTGTGGAAAACTAAGACCATGCATTACTTGTGCAAAAAAACACCACAATGAAACATGGTGATCGCAACATCATGGGTGTGGATGCCTTTCCTCTGCAAGGACATCGTTTGAGATTGACATTCTAAATACAAACCAGATCTGAGGCAAACCTTTAAGTGGCTACAAAATACCTGAGACTGGGTTAGAGATTAACCTTTGAGCAGGACCACTACCCTAAGCATCCATGTCATGTTGTGATGCTTAAGACACTGGGCCAATATTTAGACCAAAATTTCAAATGTTTAAACCACCTGGACTTAAATTTTTCTTTAAACTAGCTAAGAGAAATCTTTTTTTGATTGGTTTGAACTTGTTACCAGCACCATTACTTAGACGCCCAGTGCCACAGTTAAATGGTTTTCAATCAAAGTATATACATCTGGGAGAATGGTCAAGTCAAAGTCCACACCTTAAACCAATAGGTCTGTTACATAAAATGAAAAAAAACAACAAACGAAAACATTAACTTGTAATATGAAGAGATTTGAAAATATTCATGTGATATGAATACATTTTAAAAAGCACTATGATTAAATCTGAGATGGATGAAATAGCCCACAACTTCAATCTTCAGTGATCTGACTGAAACTGGTAGTGCTAAAACTGATCTCACCTTTGGTACAGAACGGGCCGTTGAAGGCGGTGGTGGTGCAGTCACACAGATAGCCATTATACCTCTCCACACATTTCCCTCCATTCCTGCAGTACATCCCAAAGCTGGTACAGTGGCCCTGGCAGCCAGACATAACCCCAGGCGTCACTTTGGCTCTCTCCTCCAGGTTGAGGGTGATGCCGTTCATTCTTAAGGCTCGGATACAGCCTAGAAACCCCCTCTGCCCCCCCGCAGCACCTGAGAAAAGCAGAGAAAAAATTAAGGAAAAGAAATGAGGAGCAGAAACTGTTAGCAAATGGTGTTCAGGGTGACAGGAGTCATTCTGAATGCAAGAGGCTCTGTTTTAATCAGTTTTAGAAGCTTTAATATGCTTGGGCCTGAAGGAAACCACTGATGTTATGCTAATCTCTCAAACTGTGCCACTGTACTTGAAACAACCTTCAACTCGTTTGATTTCTTCACTAATTAGAAAAGCCTAATGAACAGGGTTTCTTAATGAACATCTCGCAAACATGCATATGCTAATGGCTGTATGAATGTATGCAAAACTATACACTTCAGACGAATACATCAGAAGTACGCCACACACGGCGCACGTGATTTCAATGAGTCAATACAAACATTAATGTTTAGCCTTGGGGTGTCAGCAGCCATTTTTTCTAAAATGCCTCCATTGTCATTCTGGACTAGCACCATTACTGTCTAACTACCCATTTACATGGACACGGTAAGGGTGTTAAATAGATGCATTTGGAGCTGAATGGCTAAAGCAATAAACACACACCTACAGGTATTTTTTCACACGTACATGGAAAGCATCATTAACGAGCGCTATGGGAAAATTCTGTTATTAAAATCTTAGAACTGGATCCTTTCAATTGGGGAAAACAACTATTTAAAAAGAATATGTAAGCTAACTTGAACTTGCAAATAGTTGTATTCGTCATCAGCGTTTCCACGTACAGGGAAAAAGTGAAACTTAACTATGAATTACTGAATTATAAATACAGGTATTGTTTCTCTACAGTAAAAAATAAAAAAGGGGATGCAGGTGGGTTTTCACCTGCTTTTTCTACTTCCAGTCTCATAAAGAATTGCACCCTTAGCAGACCTACTAATTAATCTATTTTGTAACACTGATTGGCTGGAGGTTTCTGCCACCTGTTTACCCAGGGCTAAATCAGCCTCTGATTAAATGGACAGCAGGCTCTGAAGCCTGCAGAGACTGAGGCAGGCACACACCAACACATACTGAAACACAGGTGTGTCCTGCTTCTCAGTGCCTCCTAAATACTATCTAATAGAGCTTAAAAAAAGTAGCTGCAGTCTGTAGATCCAAAGAATACAAATTATATATTAGTTACAAATAATTTAGACAAATATTACAATTTGGAAATCAAACACTCAATCCCCCTTAAGCATTGCACACATACTGTAAATAGAGAGAGACTATGGTTAATAACAGTATTCAAAATGTATATATTTTCAGGATGTTAAAAATAAGGTTGTCTCAGAGGCTGACCAGACTTTCAATATAGCTAATATTTCTTTAAAAGAAAAGTATCTCCATAAATGTTGGTTTCATAGTCGGATCAACCATCTCAACAAGTTGAAATTGTCAGCAGAGCAGCTGATGCAAAGAGCTGCCAATTGTCTCTGTCTCCTTTGCTCTCCATAGTTTGAACAGATAAATGAACAGAAATAGATCAAAGGATTTGTGGTATAGGAAACAGGACAGTGAAGATTGTATGTTTTGGGATTTCTTTTTTAAAAGTAATAGGTCTGAAATTGAAAATGAGACATTTCAGCATCAGTAGCGAAAGGATTTTGTTTCAACAAAACCAAGAAATAAGCTTTTATATTATACAAATGTTACATGTATATCACCCTTTCACTTGTAGCCACTGGTACAGAGAAGTTTAACTGTCTCTCTGCATTGAATAAAACCGTTTTTTAAAGACTTTTCCACAGACCACATGCTTAAAAAACACAATCACCCTTCAAAATGCTATCAAGGTAAACTTGGTTACACATGGGGTACTTTGCAGCCTGAAAGTATTTTTCTCTTCTGCTCATCTTTATTTAATCATGGTCATATTTATATCTAAAATAGATTTTAGTGCAACCCACTTCCTGCAAAAGCAAGCTGAACAACCAATATGTTTAGATTGTGGAAAAAAACTAGCACTGTACATGAATCTTTACACAACATTACATGAATAAATAAAAACACAGTTGTTAAAGAGTAATAGCATTTCTTAGGAGGAAATAAAGCTATCAAAACTAACATCGGCCCTCATTATTCCATGTTTTACTTCACTTTTCCGCCTCGAAATCTTACAGGAAAATGTCCAAAAAAACGGTTAACGACCTTTAGCAAAAGCACACTTTTTCCTACCAGACCAGTAAGATTAATTGGTTCAATAAACTCCCCCACAAGTTTTGGAAAGGAGAGGTTAAAGTCCACATTTAAATCACACTGATATGCTTTAACATAAACACAAATAGTGTCTCTTGAACAAGAATGAGGCTTTAAAAAAATCCTGAGAGGCTAGAAATTTCCCCACAGTGATGTAAAAAAAAAACCACTGCATGCATAATACAGTATGACGGACAATATTGTTGCTAAGGGTCATACTAGGTTTATGGGGTTATTAACTTTTAAAGGGCTATCATTTCACATTTTTGTATTTATCTGTTTCTGACAAAGATACAATTAAAACTGGTTACATTATCTAAAACATTTCTGGTTGACAAAAAACTGAAAGAAATCTAAAATATCTGCAGGTATTTTACAAGTAGCTTTGTCATTTGCATGCGTCTAAATATTCACTAATGCATGCAGTCTTAGGTTAAGGAAATTTGAACTTTTATTTAAAAAATCATATTTTTGAATCATTTTGCCGGCCAGTTTATATACAACTCTTTGTTATGGTTCTAATTCAATACAATTCAAATTTCTGATGGAATATCTGTTGTTTTACTGACGAAATGTTACCTACTGTCTTGACAGGTGAGTGCAGCTGGTTTCCCTGTGATGGGTGTCACACACATGCAGTGATCAGAAACAAACAGGAATCCAATGCATGCAGACAGAAGCAGAAAAACAAGACAAAGAAAGACAGCACAGTCCAAACATGATAGAACTTAATAAAAAACAAAAAAACATTCAAGAGTGAGGATTAATCAAAAAGGACATCTAAAAACAGATGGTGACATAAAACTAATAAAACATGACAGAATTTTTAGTTATCTTAATGTATGAAGTAAAACAGGAAACTAAAAGTTAACAGTGTAAAGTAAATGGCAGCAAACTGATGGTGTAACATTTACTTTCAGGGCCATTACAGCAAATGAGCCAGTGCGCAGTAAACACTAAAGCAATCAAACGCTTGACGAGGAGTGTATTGATTAAGAGGGTGGGAAAGAGGTGATACTCGGACAATCATGACACCAAGGTAAGCAAAATTAAGCCTCGTTTTGTCTTTGATATGTGTACGAGAGAAAAGAGAAAGATCAATCGAACTGAGAGTCTTTGTACCACATGAGTTTTAAATCAAGATAAGTGCAGCAGAAATCAGAGTTGTATTTTCAAGCTACTCCCTTTTATTCTTTTTCCGTCTTACCACCTTTTAACATTTCCATCAATAAAAAGTAGAGAAAACAAGATGTAGTGCAAAGTGTTCCATATCAAGTCACGATCAAGTGAGTCAGGGAAAAATCTTGCTGCCTGCAGAGTTGTTTCTGCTCTTTCTAAATCTCTTTATCAAACACAAAAAGATCTTTATCCAAGGGCCGAACCCGGGGCCCCATTCCTGTGACTTGTTGGGTCATTTCCTTGGGCTCCTCTGCTTAAACCTATTTTTAGGTTTAAGCAGAGATTAGAGAAAGGATATAAGACAAAAACTATATGTATATATATATATATATATATATATATATATATATATATATATATATATATATATATATATATATACTAGTGGTGGGACTCAATTGAATTAAATTAGAGGGTCCATAATTACTTAATCCAAATTAACATTATTATAATCAACAACATATAACACCTTTTTTATTGAAAAACCCTTGCCTTCTCAATAATGTAGACAAGGGTTTTATACTTTCTGGGACAAAAAAATACTTCTATATAAGTGTTAACAGTCCATCAACATTTGCTATTCTACAAAAATATATATATAGCAACAAAGCGTACAAAACTGACTTTAAACTAGGGTTGTCAAAAGTATCGATACTCAAAAAAGTATCGATACTGAAACGTTGTATCCGGATACAATACTCATTTTCAATAGTATCGATTCAGCCATCTAAAGTGCAGAATAGTGGAAAATGCACTTTCTGAACACTGTGTGATTGAATAATTCTGTGCATTTTTCAGTTTCAGACTTTTTTTGTAACAGGATAGCTGCTGAGAATTATTTTTGTTTAACTGCTTTGGCCAGTTTCATTGTTATGTCTGCAAAACATAGCCAAGGAAGGAACACTTAATTTTTATTTTAAGTTTTTTATCAAGCTTGCTTAATATTGTGCACAGCATATAACCTCAAAATATTATTCTTATTGTTTTTTTATTTATTTCTTGTATTTTTTTAGTAATGAAAATATTTCTGTTGAATTTTAGAGTCTTTGTTTTTATTCTTGTGGTATCGAAAAGGGTATTGAGTATCGAATATTTTACTTAGTATCGGTATCGAGTTGAAAAGTTTAGTATCGTGACAACCCTACTTTAAACAGAAGATTAACTTTAAGTTTTTTTTTTTTTAGTTTTTACAGCACTAGTGGTTTGTTTTTTCTTACATAGGATGTCAGGAAAGGGGGTATGAGGGAGGGGGAGAGACATGCGGCAAAGGACCATAGGTCGGATTCCAACCCGGGTCGGCCGCATTGAGGACTAAGGCCTCCATACATGGGTTGTGCACGCTAACCACTGCACCACCATCACGCCCAACTTTCATTTCTAATACTGATAGAACTATGACATTTCTGCACTGCAAACTGTAAGCATTACCTTTTGAAGCCAAACCATTGCTATCTAATGTGCAGCATTTAGTACGATTAAAACATTTAGGCCCACTACTCAGCCAACTGTTTCTTATTAAGCTAGTTAAATACCATGTTCCTTCCTACTGTAACTGTCAGCACTTCTTTGATAAACGGCCCTTATTTTGGCAGCCGCTGACGCACTTCTTCCATAGCTCCATACTGATTTTAGGTATTCACAAGGCTGCCAACATTTCACCAAACCTTGGGGTGAGATTTTGAAATTGTTTGGACAGGAAAATGTCAGGGTTAGATGAGGATAGGTGCAGCTATACGTTGGAGGTTTTCTGAGGATTTAACTGAAACAAAGTGGAAAAATTTGGAATTTTTATAGCACAGTAAATGTTACTGTGTAACAATAAGTGGTCTGTAGTTATGTGGAACATTGTTCTCACAATATATACATTATTTTCTACATTCTGGTGGAAACCTATGCTGTCTATGAATATTTGGTAATAGGCTAAGGATTAAAAAGCTTCATTCATTATGTTATTAGTTTTTCTTACAATTGACAAAACAGTTAAACAATTCAGACCTTCTAGGAGGCTGTAGATTTTATAAAAACCACCATGACACAAGACATCGTTTCACTGGATGTTTCAGTTTGGTAGATGTGATGGAAATTAAGCTTTTAAACATATTCAATGGACCAAAATAAAGATAAATGAATATGATAAAATGATAAAAATAATACAAAAAAGAACATTAATGTGGTTTCTCCTCTATGAATCCAGGATAAATTAGTTTTTCTGCACATCCTCTCTGAATGTGGTTGGTCTTTTCTTGGGTGGCTCATCTTTTGAAAAATAAAATGCAATGGTTCTTTTTTCTTTTTGTGGAGCTTCTATGGGTTTGAGAAGCATACCAGAATGCTTTAAGAATTAAAATATTTTATGTTGGTTTAATTACTCCTAAATGCCAATGGGAGAATATTAAACTAGACTGAGCAATAGTTATTTAACTTGTGAGCAAAACATGGAATAAAACTGGGACTAAAATAGCACCATGTAAAGAGAAAACAAACCAGTGGATATGATCCTACACTCAGTCTCCACAGCAATAATTTAAGCTATCTGCTGTATTTTTTATTCATATTTACTCAAGTACTGAATTGCTTAAAATATTCAATAATTTACAAAGAGAAATATCCTAGTCAAGATGAGATAAGATAAAAATAGCACTAAGGTTGTATTAAAAACTTAGGCTGGGTTTTTATCACCATAGTATTTTTATAGATAAATAAGTGGAACGGAGTTCAGTTGTTAGTTGTCTGTTATTTTTTTTATGAAATAAATTGGGAATAAGGTGTGAGTGTGACAGCCCTGTATTCAGATTGAGCAATGGTTTTTAAGCTTGAATAGCCCCAGTGGACCAAGTCCTGTGATGCTGCTGTGCATCATATTTATAGAGGTAAAAGAAACTGCAAGTACAAAGATTCCTGCTCGGGTTTTTAGTACGTATACAACAAAATATATATATAACAAAATGCTATCAATTGCATTATTTCTTGCAACGGATAGAAATGTTTCTAAATAATTAATTGAAATGAACGCATTAAAGTCTCTGCCCCAATATCCACTGAATGCAACAAGGTGATGGAGGATTTTATTTGGGATTCATGTGATAGACCAACACAACAGCCTCTAACTGTGAAGTTGAAACTAAATGAAACAAACATTTCCAGAAACCTCTGAGGAGTGCAGTGGGTGTTTGTGTTTCAACTCAACTCAACTTTATTTATAGAGCGCCTTAAAACAATCACAGCTGCCACAAAGTGCTGTACATATCTGGTAAAGTTAAAATTGTATAAAAAAACATACAAGTTTAAAAAAAATAAAACAAATACAATTAAATAAATAAATTAAAAGAAATAAATCCACATAAAAAAACCTGATAAAACAAAAACAGAGATACTCTCCTGCTGTGCTAAAAGCCAAATGATAAAAACGGGTTTTAAGACAAGTTTTAAAAATATGCAGAGAAGAGGATTGTCTAATGAGGAGGGGGAGCTCATTCCACAATTTTGGAGCAGCAACTGAAAAAGCTCTGTCTCATCGGTTTGGACCTCTGTACCTCCAGGAGGAGCAGGTCAGCTGACCAGAGGCACCGAGTGGGAGCATAGGGGTGGAGAAGCTCAGAGAGGTAAGGAAGGGCCAAGCCTTTTAAAGACTTAAAAACAAATAAAGCAATCTTAGCTTGCTTTATTTTATACTCCTAAATAAAACACAGCCAGTTATCTTCAGATGTTACATAGTTCGTAAATAAAGTCCACCTCTGTGTATTCTAATCCTCGTATAGAAGCAGTTTCTTCACAAAGGTCTCAAAGGTTTGTTAGAAAGCATTATAGAACAAAGAGCATCATAAATACGTTGGTCTTCTGATCCGGCAGGAAGATCATTAATCCAAGAAGCAGCCAAGGGGTCTATAGTAACTCTGGAGGTGCTACAAAGATCTACAGCTAAGGCGAGAGAATTTGCCCAAAGGACAACTATTAATGGTGCACACCAGGTCTTTGTTGAAATATTGGAAAGAAGAAAGAAGTATTCCAGTGATCGCTATCTTCAGTTAAAGACCTGTAAGGAACATAGCTCCCATGTGGAAGAAGGTGCTCATGCTAACAATAAAAGTAAATATTCTGGCCATATATACAGTGCAAAACTAAAACTGCTTTTTGACCTGAATGCATCATAGATTAAATCATATTTATGTGTTTGCACAGTTGCATAAGCCTTTCTTTCCATTTACCAGGTTTCTACTGTGTGTTGGTCTATCACATAAAACGATGTTAAAACAGATTATATTATAACAGATTCTAAGAATGTGAAAAGGTTCAAGGGTATGAATACTTTGACAAGCCAGTGAAAATGTGAGCTGTACAAACAAAAAGGCTTTTTCACCTCTTTTTGTTCTAATAAATTACACTGTTAGGACAAGAAGATGACGTTCCAATCAGAAAAAAAATGATGAGAGGATGGAACTATAGAAAAAATGGGGATCAGGATTGTTAAGGCTATCACATCGGAACGCCTGATTGGAATTTTCAACAATCTCTTTTAAGAAGAACTTTTTTTTTTCTTCCATGAGATAGGAACAAGCATAAGACTCGCCTCAGCACTTTTTCCTCTACCCGCAAATTCCTGAAACTCTCTCAGCCCTGAAGTTTTCAGTGTAGAGCACAGAAGGCTCAGCACAAAAGACAAACCGAAGCAGAAGTAAAATCATAAAGCAAAAATAGGACAGATATTCTATTTTTTTAACTTATGGTGGGCTTAAAGCGTGATATAGAGAACCATCGGCAGCAACCCAATTTTTTCACCACCATCAAGGAATGAATTGCTCAGTCTAAGAATCAAATAATATTCTCTCCTTGCCCTTTTAATCCGTACTAATATAAATGTGTATTTAAGGTATTAAAGTATTAATGAAATGACCCTTTTAGGAAGTCAGTTTTGCATTTATTAAAACTGGGATCACTGAAATGGATGACTTCCAAGGATGAGTATGTATCCACATATTTGCAAATTATTAAGTAAAACACATTGTTGTGTTTTAGCTGTTCGGTCTTGCAGGCATTTAATTAGTAGTGACTGCAGCTAAGCTGAACAGAAGCCTCTTAAAGGACAGTAAAGCTGGCACATCTTTAATTTATAAATCATTCAGACCTTCTAACACTCAGAGTCTCTACTAGAGGGCAGCATAAGTGAAAATGAATTCCACCCAATCAAAGACATAAAAGTTTGAATGTGTTATTTAAGTTTTCAACTATATATACATGACTGTAAGTCCTTTACAAAGGCAAAGCTATGTGTTCAGTTTGTTATATATATGATGATTGTTTATTGTGTGTGTCGTACCCACGTAGAGCTGGCTAAACAGCTCTAGCCGTGTGTGTCCCTGTGCGGGTGCTAGCCGGGATGTCCGGTAGATCTGGTCCACCTGGAGGACTGCCTCTTTGATATTACGTTCAGCCATCACACGATGCCACTGGTCGTCATTGAGAGGCGTTTCTGAGTGCACAGTTAGCTCCACAGGGCCGTTCCCAACATCAAAAGAAAAGGAGACCACAGTAGGAGCTGGAAGAAAAAAAAAAGGCAAAGATAAAAAGTTAAATGAGACAGGTGTAACCTCACATCACAACACAACAAGTGCTTCAGAACTAGATGTTCAGATATGGATCACTCCTCTAGGTATAGACATCCAGTCAGTAATCGAATGCCTCATTTGGTTCTAGTCCATTTATTTGGCAGGTATAGATTACAATTTTGCAGAATGAGGGAGCTACACAGAGCTGTGGACAGGACAAATCTCACAGAACTTCGATTGGTGTCAGGACCTTTTGAGTTAGCTCATGACGGTGGGATGTGGCAGCTTTCACCAGTCATGTTAGGGATGGAAACCACGATGACAAGAAACAGATAATGACACCAGACATCCCAAGTCTCCCGGAGGTTCCGGGAGTCTCCCTGATATAGATTGTTGTTCACAGATGCCTGTGAGTCTGATAAATTATCCCGGATTTTAGACTATGGGAGGTGGTGTTTTTTGAATGCGAGTGAGAGTAGGCAGGCTGTACAATAATTCATGCATCATGTGTGGTTTAGAACTACTGCGATTACGCAGACACAATAAGAGCGTGCGGGTATTGGGAGGAGGTTGCTGGTGAAACCTGTCTGTCCAAAGCGATGCTCTGTTCAACCAGCGTTCCAGGCAATTGGTTGTCAGAGAGCTGATTGGATCAGTCTGATAAGTTTCTGGTTACTCTCTGGCAGTCACCTAGTTACCATTCAAAGCTGAGCATCCTGTGAAACGGCAGAGGTTGAATCCTCAAGTAAAAAACGAAAATATAAGAATAATTTTACAGCAGAATATACAAAAGTATATCCCTGTCTCGTGAAGGTGAGGAACAGTGGCAGAGACCAAATGTACCAAGGGGCCAGGAGGGGGCCAACGTATTTTCATGGGGGCCCAGAAAAGCATGAAATAAAAAAAACAGTGATTCAAATATATTAAGAGAGCTGCATAAAGTGAAATTTATTTTCAATTCGGTTTAATAGAAATTCTATTTCTCATGAGGTCAATATGCATTTATAATTTAGGAATTTTACATATTTCTGACTTAATTCATCTGTAAAAATTATTTGTTGTGAAAAAAAAAAATAGGCAGATAAAAACTGGGATCCTGTCGCAATACCACTGAAGATATCAGCTTATTGTTTTGGAATAATTAGTAAAAAAGAATTTGTAAAGAAAAAGAATGAAATAGATCCAAATGACCTATCAGTAACCATGTCTGTTCCTGCGCATATCATTATTAGTATGTCTTTTAAGTATTATGTCTTAAGTACAGGGGCGATAACAGGGGCCACTTCATGATCTACATGGGTACTGGCCCCCGTTGGCCCCTATCTAGAACCGGCCATGGAGAGGAATGATGACACGGTGGTGAGGTGCACTGTATGCTGAAGTTGCATGAAAAACAGAGCGGGGGTATGATGAGCATCTCCCTGAAATTAGTTTTTGGAACTTGGGATGTCTGTGGCACAAATGTTAGGTGCAGGAATAGAGTTAGAGGGAAAGAGGTGACAATTCCAGATAAACAGCTGTACATGTTATCACATCAGTAAAACTGAACTTGAGAGATGTGTTGTGTATGCTTAATATGTGTTATTAAAAAATGCAGTTGTGTGGCTAATTATTAATGATCAACATCTGACAAAAGGGGGCAGTATTCTTCCTTGATTGGGCATTTCCCCATTCATATCTTTCATTCTTAGGTCTGACTGACTGAATTTGAGTGACTGACCTTTCAACCTGCCCACTCCAGATGTTGCCAGTCCAACTATGGAAAGGTTACTGTAGCAGGAGTTTTCCGCAATCCCTTTATTTTTATCCACATAGTGTTTCTGTTCATTAACTGCAAACAAAGGAACACCTCACATTCTTTCTCTGAATCTGATTAACTGTTATCTGAATGTAATGGATTTATAAAAGCATTACATAAAGCCTTGCAAAGGCTTTCATATGGTTTTGTACAACAAGGGATTCACAGATACCACATTAGATCAGCTGTTGATATCTAATACTGATATGAATACTAATTAAAACTATTCTACGATACTTTTTGGGATATACATTTTTTCCTTAATCATATTTGGGGGTGGGGTGTTGGTGGGGGGTATTTTGCCAAAGAATCATGCTTCCATGTAAAAAAAAATGTTATTAATCTTTTAAAATTTACAGCTAGTTTTGAAAAACAGTCCTGCCAAACCCGTCAATAATAATTAAGTTTTAACTCACCAAACTCTAAAAGTGCTTTGCATGCAGGACTAGTTCTGCATTGTAAAATCTTTCTATATTCACTGTTAAGTTCAATTAATGAGGTACAAAGAGGTTAGATGTCATGGTAAAATACCCAGAAGCAGGTGGGAGGGATGTGCCTGAAACAGCTCTAGTACATTTAAAGGACACTAATTACCCCTTTCTATTATCGGACAATGGCTGCAGATGTAGCAACAGGCATTTTCATTTTAGACGTCCAGGAATGCCACAGTTTTCACCATCTGCAGGTTGTTCCTGAACTTTCTCACCTGCTTCTAAAGGGTTTGCAGGCGTTTCAGATTCCACTGACCCCTGGAAATCTGGTTACTCAGCGTTGTATAGTTTTTTTTAGATTTTTTGCGAGACTGCAAGCTTTAAATGTGGTAGAAAATATTTTTTTCTCTTTTGACTAATTTGCTGAACATCATTTTGCATACCATTTAACCGTTTTCCACCTTCCTCTACTTGTGAACACGTCCACAGTGCTGACATTACTCCACATCTTCCATGTGACTCTTAAGTTAGGGAAAAACTTTGCTCTGCATTTGAGTGGAGCCGGTTCTTTTTTCCTGTCTAAATTCTAAGCCCTGCTATTGTTGCTTTATAGACTTTACTATGCATGTGAAGACTTGTGATATATATATATATATATATATATCTCAGGGTTAAATCTATTTACTTTCAAGTGGCACTTTCATGACCACTAGTGAGTACGAGTAGAGGCACATGAGCAGATGCTACTACAAGGATCTTGGCATCCCTAGATAAAAGCACACATTGGAGCTACAAACTAACATGTTAAAATGTATTGATGTAAACTACTCTACTGTATCTGGTGTTGTTGTCCTGCTGGAAAAAACAACCTCTATAGACACACACAAAAGGTCTTGAAAGCTAATTTGGCCAATTCTAAATGAAGTAGGGTGTACTGCATGTTATTTTTTATTTTCTGAATATACACTATATGCACATTAATCCCGCACCAACCTGCACCATCCCCGATAAAAAAAATGAAAGGTGTCTTTCTTCAACTTCAAAATAATACATTACTTAGCAAAACTATCAATCAATAAGGATTAAACTAAATTATAGTTTTTTGATACATTGTTCGAGGGTTTTAAAACAATTTAAACAGTTTTTCCAGATATGTGTCATAATGTAGAACATAAAGCATTGTTGTTACCACTTATTTTTCTAAAAGGATGCCAAAGTAAAAAGAAATGTTGTTTATATGCAGAGGTGGGTAAATGTTTACATGCATTCAGTTACATTTATTTGAGTACATTTTAGAATTTCAACTTACTTTTACTTAAGAAATATCCTTGTGAGTGTATCCCCACTGTTATTTGAGTAAATCTTCTAGCTGCTCCACTGACCTGAAGTAACTAAGTTCTTTAGAGATAAGGGCTAAAAATTACAGTTAACAGTAATTTTGATGGAAATTCTTAATATTTTCCCGACATATATACATAATCTACTGTCAGTATTGTTTTTATAAATTTACATTTCAGAAAGCTGATTTGAAAAAGTGTTTCTTCTCCCCATAATTTGTTATTTATTTAGTTAGTTATTTATTTGCATTTTCTTTAATTCTACTTTATTTTCTTACCTTGAAATACCATCATATTCACATAATTCTCCATCTAATTACATCATTTAAAAAATAAAATCAGATTTTTCTTAGTACTTTTGTGCTTTTACTTGAGTAAAAAAAACAAAAAAAAACTTTTAAAGTCATGCCACTGTTACTTGAGTATAATTTTGTGGTACTGTACCCACCTCTGGTCATTTTAAGCAACAACAAAAAATAGCAAACATGCTTTTGCTGCAGCAGAGTGCATTTTCCTTTCATAAGTCAAAATCAACTTGACTTCTTTCCAAGTTTTGGAATACTGTGAGACTTATGCATTCTGGGTGCCATATTGTTGCTTCTGGCACCAGTGTGCTGCAGCCATACTGATGATTAATCGCTCAGTGTTGTACTGGATTGCTTTTGTTCCATTTGCCTCTGTATTTCAGCGCATAATTTTGTGTATTAATCAATAGGGAAATGAGCTTTCTTCTTTTGTTTTTCCCAATCAATATGCCTGGCCTTTTCCTCCATTTCATATCGCTTTCATCTAATTATATCTTTTATCATATAGCCATTTCTTCCAGTGTTTGGCCTTGCATCCTTCTCAAAACAAACTTGAGCTCTCCTTAGTTTTATATTATTTCTGTTTACTCATTTTTCTCTTACTTTGCTTTTATGCTTCTTGCTATTACTGCCTCCCTCCATTTACACATGCCTTGACCCATTCTTTCCTTGCCAGCACGCCACTTCAGTCCTACTTAAAATTCTTAGCAGTTTGTTAATTTTCTGGGAACTAAAGTGAAGCAAACAATATGCTGAATTTTTGAGATTCGTAAAAAAAAAAACAACTCTTGTTCTGTTCACGGGGTCAGAGAACAGGACTGATTTAAAAGCACCTGCAAAACCAGATGCATTAGAGGATAACCCAGGCCATTTCTCTTGTGCAGTAAAAATAAGCTTAGAATTCAAAACAACCAGGTGACTTGTTAATCCATCGTTTAGATGCCAGCTTTTACTTCAGCAGGTACTCAGGATTTTTTTCCTTTTAATGGTTTCAGCAATATCCAGTACTTTAAGAGCAGCGGAAGCAATCTGGCATTCCAACTAAAATTACACAGATGGGGAAGTCGTTGTTTTGCACATATCTCCTTTCTAATGACTTTGCACTAAACTATCTCCGGG